GCGCAGCCCCTCACCTCAGCCGCCCCGCCCCCGGCCGCAGGCCCTCCCCTCCCTCGCCTCCAGGCGCACCCGCCTGCAGGCTCATTCCGAGGCGGACTGGGTGCGAGACGGAGGTGTGTCCTCCCGCACTGAGGGCGCAAACCTGTTTGGGAGCGGGGGGTGGGGGAGGCACGATGCTGGGACTGGGAGAGGAAACGTGACCGCGGCTCTCGGGCCCTAGAAAGGGGGGTGGTACAAGGGAAGGTTACCACCGGCCTGCACGCCCCAGATAAGGTAGCGCCACCCCCTCCTGTTTGCCCGGGGTAGCCCCAGGCCGACAAAACATAGGTCAGAGGAACGGTCTAGTTTTCTCCCAAGCCGCTGTCCCTCTAGGCTGCACAGGGATGGGTGTGCGCACCCCAGGGCAAGCCCCTCCCCCAAGCCAAGGACCCGGTCACCCATACCCTCCACCTCCCCTACCTTGGCCGCAGCCTGGCCCTGGCCACACTAGCTGTTTTTGCTATGTGGGCTCTCCTTCCTCCTTCTGTTTGCCAAAGTTCCCAATAAACCAAAGTCCATATCCGGTTTACACCCCTTCAGCTCCCCTTGGCCTCAACTACCCCACCCAGACCAGAAGGATGGAGGGAGAGGCTTCAGAGTGGTTCAGGACTTTCATGGGGGGAGATGGTGAGGGAAGGGGAAGCCATTAAGTTGCTCCAATTCAGAGAAAGAAAGTCCGTCCCCAAGCTGTGCTCCATCAGCACTCCCCCACACAGCCCACCCAGCAGATGTAAAACCACAGGCTCACTGGAGCCTGCCAGCACTGGAGGACCTTTTCATTTACAAAGGCCAAAGGCCTCTCCCCTCTCCTAGGCTGGGATTCACTCAGGGGGCAACGCTTCGCAGCTCTCCCCATGCCCATTCCAGTAGTAACTTCCAACGGCAGGCAGGCAAGTGGGGTTGAGCTTTTTAATATCATAAATCAGTGTCCAGCCTGGTCTCTCACTGCCAGGCCCCTTCCTGGGCCTCCTATCTTCATATTGCCTGGAAGGCTGCCTGCAGCCAGGGCTTCTCCCATCCCCTAGGAAGCATCCAGCACCAGCCTGAGAGGGGAGGCAATAGCAGCTAAGGGGGTGGGAAGGCGGAGAGACAGAAGCTTGTGCAGGCGTGTGTGTGTGTGTACTTACGTGTGTGAACACATGTGGAGTTAAAGGTTTACAGACCCTGGCTCAGGGACAGTCTAGGATGGGAGAGGAGGTGGGGCAAAGAGAAGCACATCTCTTCTCCCCGGCGCCTCAGCCTCAGCCTCACCCTTCCCCAGAGACACACACACGGAGTAAGTGGGAAGCCTCATCCCTGGACTGGAGCCCTTTTGAGTCTGGTGGAGTCACAGATCCCGTCTGTGGGATCACTGGGTCTGTCTCCCTTTGAAAGCCCTGGAAGGGTGGGAGGTAAGAAGTAAAAGGAGACAGGTGTCTGCTAGAAGAACTTGACGCCTCGGCCTTCGCTGACGGTGATGATCTCAGCCTTATGCTCCTGCTGCAGCGCCTGCAGAGCCCGAAGGAGGGTTGCTTCATCCAGCCCGTGGAACTCTGGATAGGGAGAGGTGGGCAGTCAGGGACACTCAGCTTCTGGGGGCCCCAGGCCCCTGAGGAGAAGAGTCTAGCCGGAAGCTGAGACCTCGAGGCTAGGGGGGCCGTGTGCCATCTACACTGCGGCAGCTGCCGTCAACCCTTCCTGGGAACTCCTCAGAGTAAGGGGTGGAAGAAAGCCTGAGTCAGCATGCAATGAGAGTTCATGCTTATTCTCCCCTTCCAGGTTCTTCTGTCAGACTCAACCCTCACATGTATCCCCCACCCCCATGCCATGTGTCTGATGTACAAGAATGACACCACCTGCTTGTGGGCCACAGAGTGGGGGACAGTGAAGCCTAGGAAGGTCAAGGTCCTTGTCACTGGATTCTGACCCTAGTTGCACACTGGTACCCATCAGGAGCACCTGTCCTAACACAAAGAAGTGTAGCCATACCTCTGACCAGGAGACTGTTAAAGTCCAGCATGGGTATCTGCCTTTTCCTAGTTAAAAGGAACAAGGCTGGGAGCCAAGGGCCAGCTGAGTATCTGGAGATATGGCAAGATACTGCAGGGAGAGGTGAGAAGCAGGTGGCAAGCCCTAACAGGTTCGCACACCTCACCCCCTACGGGGGCCTACCTCTTGAGTCAGGGAGCTTGCCTTCTGAGGAAGCCTCCAGCTTTGCCCAGCATGAGTGGTGGGCTGGGCAAGGCTGCAGCACTGAAGTCATGGGGTGATGGTGGGAGTAGCAAGCAGAGGCCTGCAGGGCAGGGGGGAACAGCCAAGAGCTCTAAACTTTGTTATGGCAGCCAGGGCCTGGCAGAAAGGGGAGGTGCCCTTTTTTCCCCAGCTGAGATTGGAACTTTTGGTGATCCTGGGGATCAGAATATGAAGCCAGAGATAAAAGAGCTAAGAATATATTTACACTATGTAAAAATCAAACAGTATACAAATCCTTGCCTGGCCAGAAACCTAAGTATTTAAAAGGCCTGGGGGTGGGGATGGGGGTGTTGGCCCAATCCCTTCAGCTGATGCCCACAAATCTTGAGCCCTCTATAAGTATAAAGGGTGAAAGAAAGGCCTGTCTCAGCAAGGAATGAGATTTTCGGCTTAATCTCCCGCCCCAGCTCCTCATTTGGCATCTACACCAGTAATTCTTAACTTTTCATGGGTCACAGATGCCCTTGAAAATCTTTTAATATAGACTCTATCCCTAGAAAAATGCACATACATCCCCACAGACAAAACCTGGGAGTATTTTGCATATAAATTCAGGTGGTTTAGGGAAACCTTGGACATGGGTTAAGAGGCCTTGTATCATGTAGTATTTAGAATTCAGAGGCAGGGATGGGAAGTCTAACGGTCAAACAAGGACTGGAGAGGATTCAGATGACAAAACTGGGGGGAAGGGAGAAGCATTACCCTCATCCTCTGTGTCGTCCCCATTGGTCAGTTCATATAGGGTGAACACGGAGTTGTTCTGGCCACTCCTGGAAACCTATGGACACAGAAAACAGGCATTGAATAAGGACGGGAAATCTCCTGGGAGAAGGTGAGCTCAACAGCTCCACCTATCTGACCCAGGAATGGCACCTATTCCCAAACCCGGGCTCACTGTCACCCCAGCAGGAGTGGCCTAAACACCGCAAACCCCATAGGTGCTATATTTATACGTGTACACACATACACGGAACCACTAAACCACAGGCCTTCACATGTCTGAGCAATGACCTCTCATTCTGTTTTCCTGTTCAGGAATAGGTGGCATGAGTTTGTTATATTTGGGTTGTTGATGCTTCTTCCCCTCTTCTCTCCCCTGGGAAAGTTTAGGGCTTGTGGTGCAGAGAGTTTGCCCCCACACCCACACCGGTTCAGAATGTCTCATTCATATGGCAGACAACCCCAAAGGGCGCAGAGGGGGAAGGGCCCCAGGCTTTTTTTTTTTTTTTCCTTCCTTTCCTCATTTATCTTCTGTGGCCAGAGACTCCAGCCAACAATAGTACTCATGGTTCCCAGCACTGCATTCTCCAAACATGGCCTCATGTAGCCTCTCGCCTCCTACAGTCAAAGGCAGGGAAGTTCTATACAGCCAGGGAAATTGAGTCACTGAAAGAGGCTTGCCTGGAAGACGTATACTTCCTCTTTTTGCCCCTTCCCACTTTGCTCAGTCTAGACCTGGGAACACCAGGTATCTGCTGAACATAGATACGATTCTCTGCCATGGGTCACCATGGCAGAATAGTCTCACCCACTGATAGATGAGCTTCCCCCATTCTTCTGGCCTTCGCCACATGATCAGGAAGCTAGACTTGTTCTTATCCAACCACTCCAGGTTCCCTGCGAAACAGATACTTATGAAAGCATCTTATGCTAAGAAGGGACAGAAGGCAAAACCAAGGTGGAACACAGTGGAAGAGACTCAGCTTTCAGGAACGGAAATTCAAGATCTGTTTTATTATTACTATCTGCAATGCACCAATTCTCCTTCTACCTGTCTCCAGGTCTCAGAACACAGATGGAGAGATTTCAATGGTGAATACCAATAGGGAAAAAGGACCCGGGGAATTGGACTATCTACTGCACAGAACACTATGGGCTCCAAGCGAGGGGAGAGAAAAACGTTGTTAAAAGCGAATACTTGTGGGGCACCTGGCTGGTACAGCTGTGGAGTGGGTGACTCTTGATCTTGAGGTTGTGGGTTCAAGCCCCACATAGGCTATAAAGATTACTTAAAAATAAAATCTTAAAGGGGCGCCTGGGTGGCTCAGTCATTAAGCGGCTGCCTTCGGCTCAGGTCATGATCCCAGGCTCCTGGGATCAAGCCCCACATCGGGCTCCCTGCTCAGCAGGAAGCCTGCTTCTCCCTCTCCCACTCCCCCTGCTTGTGTTCCTTCTCTCGCTTTGTTTCTCTCTGTCAAATAAATAAAAAAATCTTCAAAAAAATTAAATAAATAAAAAATAAAATCTTAAAAAAAAAAAAAAGCAAAAACTTGTGCCAATCTGCCCTCAGGAAAACCCCAAGCAGGAGGAAAAATAAGGAAATCTGAGGACCTGAACCCACCTTTCTTCCTTAGTTCCTCTAATACAACCTGGATTGATTCCACAGGGAGCTTCCCTGGTTTAAAGTTAAGGGAAGGGCACTGATGGACTGAGTTGGGTGGGATAAAAATTCTCAGGGCCAGTGTCATGTTGAAAACCATCTGTCCCCTTCCTCTCCCTCCCACATACATATATGTGCAATTCCCCAACAGGCTATAAATTGGCATTTCCTGGATATTGGGGGGAGGAAGGGAAAAAACTAGTCCAATTAAAGGGAAGAGCTTTAGAAATGAACAGTACTATCATCTGTCACCCTCTGTCCTCTCTCCTTCCTTCAGACTTTCTCCACAGATACTTTAGGTATGAATCAGGCAGCAAAAACAAATGACCTTTACTTCCTGGGAGGAAGAGAGTAGGTGGAGAAAATTCCTAAAGGTAGTATCAGAGTTTGAGCTTCACTCAGTAAGACGACAGGAGATTCAGAGTCAAAAGGGCTTGGGTTGAAAAGCTTGGGACTTGGCTTCAGGGCAGAGATTCTAAGACCTGAATGACACCTGGGTACTTGTCACTGGCTAGGACAAGAGGGTTTGAGGCTGCATTTGCATTGGGGTTTGGGGATAAAATGGAAGTCAGCTAACACATACTAGCTCTTTCCCAAGTCCAGTTTGGGTGGGAATCTGACTACGGTGGGTGAAGCGGGGTGTGAAATCTGGGCATGTGGGAAAGCGTGGAAGTGCATGTGTGTGGGCTGTGGAAGAGCCTGAGGGAGGATACGCTGTAGCTTCACGTTGTTGAAGAGCGGGCTCTCCTGAGCTTCCATCACCGTCATGCTGGACTGTTTGTGCAGGCGGCAGAAGGACAGGACCAGCGAGCACCAGGCGGCCAGCTGCTTCTGCCGAGTGTCCACGTTCGGCTGCAACCTGCCGGGCGAAGGGGGTGGGGCGCAGAATTAGAGGGCGTGAGAGAGCGAGAGGCAGCACTTGCCGGAGGCGCGTCTGGGGGACAAAGTGGGAGACTGAGGGTGGTGGCGACCGGGTCCTTTCTCCCCCTCCCCATCTGAAGCATCAGGGCTGAGCCCGGGGTCCGGGGCAGGGGAGGGAGGCGCAGCGGGGCTTCTCGGGGTCTGAGCCTCACGTAAAGAAGGGCGGGAAGCGATACTGCCACGGCCACTCGAAACTCATCGCCATTGTAGTAGCCCAGGAAACCCGGAACCTCCGGGCAAAGGACTTCCGGCCTCCGCTTCGGCACGTCCGGGCAAAAAGCACAGCAGAAAGGTTCCGGACGCCTCTTCGGAGAGGCGGGAGGGATGCTGCTGATCAGCCAGTCCCTTACCATTATCCTAAAAATCCTTACCGTTTAGAGCCCCGAGAAGTCTTCTCATTCAGCTCTAGAGAAGGGCAGTGACTTCTCCAAAGCGGCACAGTTTGATAGTAGAACTGCCTAGGCTTGTTTCCCCTCTGCTCAGCTGCTTTTAATATTAACATCCGTGTCAGTTGCATTTAACAAACACCTCACAATTCCCCAGTCTCTTCAATTGCTGTGTCCTTCGAGCGCACCATTCCTTGGTCTCCTGAAGCACCCGTAGGAGCACATTTGTACCTTTTATCGCTGGAAAAGTTTCGGCTTCCATGATTCAGAGCTGCCCGCTTTGACCACAGCCATCTATCTCTCACGTCCTCACTTTTCTAGTGTCAAGTCCCCAGACCCATTTTGGTCTTATTTGACTCCTTACCCAGCCTAGACTACCCCATTCTGTCCCCTTGCTTGCCTACCTGCTGTCACTTAACAAATCAGGGTTGTTGTTCCTCTACCCCTCCCCCCACTCCTGCCGAGTTGTATTACTGGAAGAAAACCACAGAACATGCTGGCTGAGCCCCAGGTTCTCTGACTAACCTCACTGCTGGGCTCTCAGTGCAGCCCAGCACTGTCTTTTATTGACTCCCTGTCACATCCCTCCAGGTAACTCTTCAAATGTTTCCATTCATCAAGTCATTCCACCTGTCTCCATCTTCTTTCTCTCTGCAGAATTCCCTTCCTATTTTGTGAACTTGAGGCCAAGCATTTGAACCTCCTGATCGTTCCTCCTCTGTCTGTCACCACACTTGATTCTTCCCACAAGAATTCCTTTCCACTTTTACGTCTTTCTTTTGGACTCAAAGGAAGAAGTGTCACTCTTCCTTTACAAGACCAACCCTTTGGCATATCTTCTTACCTCTCCTTTCCAACTGCCTCTAGGACTTCTTTGTATATCATCTTCCCTCTTTTCTTTTCCTCTGGCTCCTCTCCCCTAGTTGACAAACATGCTCAGGTCACCCGTATTTGAAAATATGTACAGTTTCCTTGACTTTGTCACACTCTCAATTTCCTATCTGATCTTTAACCTTTCCCCCACTCAAGTCCATCCTTCATTGTACACAGTTCCCGATCTACCAAAGTGCCCAGCAAATATCTGTTGCATGAATGGATGAACCATTCAATTGATAATGTTCTTTCAAAGGGCACTATCTCCTTTGCTTCCATGGCACTGCTTTATCCTTGTTCTGCCACTGTCTCTCTGATCTTTCTCTTTGTCTCATTTCCCCCTCATTCTTTAAATGTGCGTATTTCCTAAGACTCTAACCTCAGCTTTCTTTTCAATACACCTTCTGTCTTGAGAACTTTCATCCTTTTCATGGCTTCACTTGGCATTTCTGTGCAAAACACTCCTAAATCTGTATTTCCACCACCACCACCACCACCCCTCCCATTTCTAACTCTCTGTGGGACATAAAAGCTTGTTCTATTGGCAGCTCATATTGTACATCCTTTTCTTCTTGCCAGCTCCTCTTCCTAATAGCCATTTTCTATCATTACTTCCATCATTGTCCTAGTAACTCAGATTCAAAGCCTGAGTCAGCCCTAACCTCTCCTCTCCTTCATTTCCAAATCCTGCTGATTCCCTCCCTTGTTTTTAATCATCTCTCCTACTTTTTATTTTCTACTTCCTCATTCATCACTCCTTTGGCCCATGTCCTCTTTTTCTCAAGCCTGGAATATTACAACAATTTCCTAATTCACCCCTATTTTTTTACTCTCTTCCCTAGGGGAAATGCACTCCATCTTAAGGTCTAGTCATATACTAACTCCACAATCACCCTCTTGTGATCACACCTCAGCTAGATGTGACCCCTCATTTTTTTACACTTAGATAACATTTGGTTTGTATCCCTTGCATGACTCTCATCACACACTCCATTGCTTTTGTTTGTATACATGTCAGCTGCCCTATTAGATGGAAGCCATTGAGAGCAGAAACTAGGCCTTATTTAACTTATTTTTCCAATAAAATATACCATACACAGTATCTTATACCAGCATGCCCTTGATGTATATTAGTAAAACACAGGAAGGCAAATATGGGCCAACAAGAGAACAGATATATCCCTGGGGAAGACCAATGCATTCATGGAAACAGAGGAAAGACTTATCTCAGGTGAAAACTTAAAATGCCCTAGGAAACAGACATGCCTCTAGAGAGACAGACATGTCCTGAGAAGAGAAGTCTGTCTCAGAGGGTGAATAGATACATTCTAGGAAGCATACAGGTATATATCTATGGAATGGACGGGCATGTCCCAGGAAATGGATATGCATGTTCTCAGAGAGGTAAATATTTCAGCAAGGGGGGGGAAGGAAAAGTCCCTGAAGAGGCTCCAGGTGCCATAAAGAATAAATAGGTGTCTTTATGGAGAACAAAGTTGTTCTCTTGTATCTTTGATGATCTGGAAGAACTGGAGGTTAAGGTCCTCTGTCGAACAACTGGGCCTCACTGTCTGGGGAACATGTAAGAGTGTATATGAAATAATGAGTTCAGAGACTAGGTATGTCCCTAGAAAGTGGGAAGGTGTCTTAAGGGAGTATCAGTATGGCTTAGGAAGCTGAGGGCTGACTTAGTTCCAGCTAAGAACTAGTGAGTGCTATGGAGATGACAGATGTCTGATCCCAGGGTCCAGTCTCCTCAGCTTTGAGGTTCTTCCAGATCATGTCCATCTTCTGGCTGTTAGCTCTAGTGGACACCAGGGGGCAGTGTGCTGCCAGGCTATAGGCCACACCCCCAGGGTCCAGGACAACATAGGATGAGGCCAGGGACCTGGAAGGGGAGTCCTGTGGTGAACTTAGTAGAGTAAGTCCTCACTGCCCTTGCCCTCAGTCCTGAGGTCCTTAGAGATGGACTCTTTTTGGTCATATCATGGTTCCTATTCCCAGGCCCTGGGAGTAAACTGAGGCATGAAGAAGAGGAAAATTCGGAGCTCCTGGGTGGTCCCCCTTCCTTCTTGCAGGAGTCACAGCAGACATTCCACCCTTGCCCCTCCCCCCACACCTCCCCAGCTGCTGTCCAGACCGGAAGGGAGTCTCTTTCCTGTATGTTTCCTGGTGCTGGCTTTGGATAAGGACAGGAAAGGCCCAGCCTTGGGAGGAAGCAGTGGAGGGGGTGGCCTTCAGGTGGGGGGAGGGGGATAGTGGGGAGCAGGCAAGTGAACAAAACAGTGCTGCTATCCAGATTCTTCCAGCTCTGCGGCCCAGAGCTGTGAGAATGGCAGAAATTCTGGGATGGGGAGGGGACAGTACAAAAAAAAAGTTTTATTTTGAAGATTACAGAACTTATGCCATGACACCACTGGGTTTCCATTTCCACCAGTCCAAGGATCTGTGGTGGGCATGGGAGTGAGAGAAGGAGGCAGGGCAGGGAGGGGAACAGAGACCTGGTGGTGGCAGGGAAAAGGAGTAGGATAAGATGGCTGCGAAGAAAAGCTCACACCACCCTAGGCCTGGGCTTCACTGTCTTTACTCCTCCACACCACAAGGGTGACGAGGAAAGGGATGAGGCAGATTGGGGCTATGATCATGGCCAGGAGCACATCCTCTGGGGGGTCTGATAAGGTGGGCTGCACCAGGGAGCAGTTGGCAAAGTGGATCTGGTGAGTCTCAAAGATGATCTCTTCTGCTCGGGGATTGGGGAAGCCCAGGTGAAATACTTCTGCAAAATGCTCCAAGCAATACTGTAGGTCGCTATAAGGCCTGGGAGTAAGGGAAGACTAGAGTGAGTATGGGTTGGGCCCAGAGAGGGGAATGCCCCACACTCACTCAAGGCCCACCCACAAGGAGCAGGCCCCACCCCTGGCCCAAGCTGCCAGGCACTGCCCCTACCTGCTAATCATGGCCCAGTCGCACCAATCCTTGGGGATAGAGTCCATCTGCTCCTTATAAGATTGCCAGCAAAACTGGATAGTCCTCTCATAGTTCTCCATCTTGTCCTCTGTGGGCACAGATTGCTTCACACTGACCACACCCCTGCCCCTCCCTCCAAGCCCTCGGGTCCAGGTATTTCCACTGTTCCTGTCTTCAAACATGGCAAACACCAGGAGAGTCTCAGAAAGTTTTCCAAGGAAAGAGTCTCAGTTCAGAAAAATGTTAATGCCTTCCATGTGCCAGCCCCACAAGGACATCCACACACTTTTTCTGGGGTCTTCTAACCCACCTGTGAGGTGAGCCAGCTCAGAGCTGGGTGGGGGTCATGTGGGATGAGAGGGAGAAGGACCACAAGGAACCCCAGGAGAGAACAGAAGGGGGGTTTAATGGGCTGCCAATTGGGGTTGTGGGAAAGGGACCCTCCCCTCCGACCTGGCTCTCCTCTCGTTGCCCTAGGCCACCCTCCCAGAGCCATGGAATACACACCTTTTGTCTTCAAACTACTTTCAGTGGGAGGAACCTGAGCCAGGGACTCCTGGGGCTTCAGGACAGCTGTGAACAGAAATGGGAGAGGGAGGTGGGATGGCGGGATCTAAGCAGTGGAGTCTGGAGGAGGGATCTGAGACCCTAGGAAGTCAGGGCTACTTTCAGAAGAGAAAAAGGAATAATCCAGGCCCCCAAGGGGTGCCTCAGTGACTGGAAGAGAGGTCTGATACTAGCTCTCTCCCACTCACATCTACACCCCAAATCCTCTTCCTCCTCCCCAGCCCCAGACCTCCCAAGACCTCTCCGCGGGGCCCCGGCACCCCAGGTTCCTCCAAGAGGGAAGCAGCTCGCGCTGAGCCCTCACCGAAGTGGGGCCGGGGACGGTCCGAGGACAGCGCTGTCCCGCCCGCACCCCAGGGCCCGTTTCGGCCTCGGCCGTCCAGCCCCCCTCCCCTCCGGGCCTCCCGCGCCTCCC